GCATAAACTTACATTGTAAATAAATTAAAGTTCCATCTTTGATTGGTAAAAGACATTTCACTTACAGCCAATTAAATTTCCAGTAGGATTTTCATCGGTCAGGCGTGGATCTATTCTTTTGACAAAGTTTAATCCAGGAGCAAAGAGAAATATTTCTACTTTAAAAAGCATGTAGAGATCGTGATTGCACACAGTCTGCGCACAAGCAATATCAGAGTGAGAGGACAGGCAGTTATTTGAGAGCTCGCGTCCAGTTTTCTGCAATTACATGACTGTGTTCTCATGTTACAATAAAGCGCTCGCCACATTAGCTCAGGAATGATTAAAATTTTTTTGGAATACCTGCAATCCCGCACGTACATTCAGACTCCGTAATTGACCGGAGGCGGATGCATGTCAAACTCGCTGTCGGAGAGGAAAGAGACGCAGCTTCTTCTTATAGAATTTGTGGCAGGCTAGATGCATCACCGGCGTAAAAAGAGACGCAGCTTGTATCGGTGTAGGCAAAACACGGTAGATACTGTGGAAAATGAGTAATGGAACCGTGTCAGATATTTCAGTATCAGTATCAAAATATAGATATTTATATATACGTCATCCGCCCGGAACTGCTTCAGTTTACAACAGTGAGCGCAAGCTAAATTAAAGTGATTATTACGTTTTGAATATGGATATTTTTCTTACAAAAATGCATCAATTCGCTACAGGAGGCCTTTGTTCATCCCCCCACACCCGTGTGAGACACTTTTTCAGTGTTTTAGCATTACTTAAAAAGTAATGTCACAAATCAGAACATGTAAATTTAACATCAATGTGAACATACAAACAAAAAAATGAATGACACTAATTTTATATCATTGTAACTTTGCTTTCCACACACTTTAAGTACTTCTTCATATACCACAGCAAAAACTATAGTCTGAGAAAGCTCAAACATGATTAAAGGCAAGTGAACAGTCAGTAAAAAAAAAAGGAAAGAAAAAGGAAAAAAATTTATACACAATTTACACGCATAGATAAAATAAACAGAAGTATTCAGGTACAGAAATTTAATAATTAAGTGTAAAATAACACTGCATAGTGTTCACTGTATGAATTAAATTTAGATTAATCTTTGTTATAGCCGTTTTGTTAGCATTAGTGACATATTCAGCAGCACGTATTTATAGGCTGCTGTCCCTTTAAATTCCTACTGCATGGATCCAGTATAATGATATACATCCGATTTCTTTCTCCTCTGTTTACATTCATTTAAAACATAACCGACTGCGTTTACGAGAATGATTGTCGAGACGGGTACTATTGTCATAATTCTGTGTGTATGTGTCTGTTCAAGCATGAGGAGATGCGAAAGACGAATCAACTCGGTCTGAAACGCGTCTCTCTGTGTATATATAGTCTCTCTATATATATTTGCACGTGTGCGGCAGAACTGAAGATACGCTGTGTGAGATGCGGCTTGTGCGCGCCCTTCAGGGGGGAGTCAGACAGCAAGACGAGATGGCAAAGAGTTGTTTTCTGCAACTTATTGCACTTAACTCTTTTCAACGTCAAGCAATTCTCTGCTATATGTGTCAAACTAAAACTTTGAGCTTTTGCAACGTTTTGATTTAAGTAGCCTATTATTAAAATGACAATGATATCGCACGCCGTTGCGATATGCATATTGCGATATTTACATTTGCGATATTTCGATAATTTCGATATCTCGTGCAGCCCTAATCGGGGGTGAGTAAAACACAGCCTAATTTTTGGGTGAACTAACTCTTTAACTCCCTTGCACTTAAAGAGCTTCAGGCACAGAGTGTGTGTATAAACTGGCATTGTTGTCATTAGAAAGCATGACAGATGTGTCACCTCCATGTGAGTAAATAGGAAGAAACTTCTGTGTGCTCGGCCACTTCACACGCTCTGCATTAATCAGTAATGAGCAGATCCACAATCTCACTCTGCAAACAATTAAAGCCCATCCTCTCCACTCAAGAGCCATTCAATTGTGCCAGATGGTTGGACATTAACCCATATGCTTAAACATTAGCCCTTTGAAAGCATGTGGACGGCAAGTCAAAAATTCAGATTATATCAAGTGTTTTAGATTTAAATAGAAAAATAAATTCCATTTCTACCAGGACGCACTGCACATTTTAGGTGTCTCACTAATCTGACACAACCAGTTTAGTTCATAACACTCTACTAACAAGCTTATTCAGAGCTAAAGAAGTGAGATATTGCACATGTGCCGTGCAGGAAGGCCTGCCATCACGAATTGTGTTTTAATGAGAATGTGTTACCTTAAAATTTATGTAGCAAGTAACAATTTCATTAAATTCAATAAGACACTCAAAGCTGTTCTGTATTGCCAATATAGTCTCAGCTGAAAAAAAATACAATTCTGTCATAATTTACTCACCCCCATGTTGTTTAAATCTCTTTGACTTTCTTTCCTCCATGAAGCACAAAAGAAGATGTTGAGCAGAATGTTCAAGCTGTTCTTTACTGTGACGAGAGGGGCGGGGCCGAGAGCCGTGGGAACGGAGCGAAGCCGGTGGAGTAATTGATAATGAGCGACACCTGCGCCACTCTCAAGTCTCGAGTCTCATGGAGGAGCTCCGGAAGGATAAAAGAAGGAGTGACGACAGTGAAAGACGAGAGAGGACCAGGCCTGGAGTTTATTTTGTGTTTTGGTTTTGTTTGTGCGCGACAGTCGTCCGTGAGGGGACATGGATCTAGAAATGTATTTTTTTCTTCTTCTTGGAGCTTGAAAGATCCAGTCATGTATAAACAAAGAACCTCAGACATTCCGCTAAACATTTCCTTGTATGCTCCACAGAAGAAAGAATTTAACAATGATGACAAGATTTTAAACAATTTTCATAACTATCCCTTCTCTATAAAAGGTCAACATTTTCAGTCGGCTCAATAAACTTATGTGAATGTTTTGACATTGTCACATTAGTTGAACCAACCTAATAAACCACACTTTTACAGTGTTCAATCTCAAAACAGATCACAGAAAACAGTTATAGAACTAAAGTCTGATTGGATGAGACACACTGAGCATCAGTGGAGCGTTAATAGTAACTACATTAGTGACGTTATCCATCTACAGTTTTGCCAAATAATTAACTATATTACTTGGCAGAAGAGGTTTATGTTTTCTGTATTTATTATTAATAATGAATATACTTATTTATTGCACATTAGTGTCTAATATAAAATGCCGACAACAACATGACTAAGCATTAGGCCACAAGAGGCCGTTTCATTGATTTTATCATGGCCTCTTATGGTTGAAGTACACTTTAATAAATGCCTGCAAACAAATTATTTTGATTCCGACTTTTAACCTTTCATTCCTCCAGTAACAAAAAACTCTTCCAGTAAACTACACACAGAAATGCACTAACAACAGTAACTTTGATAATGTTATCAAAACAGCATCATGTGCTTCTTGGTGACAAAAGTCAAATGGAATTACTGGCATCACTGGAATCCACAAGAGCAGCTTTAAAACCCATTCTTTCGGCTACATTATGTCTGTAAAATTGTATCGCATGACCTACTGTATGCCGTTCTAAACGGTCATCACTCAAAGGGTTTTCTAGGTTACAAAACACACAAAACTGCAAGCAAATCAAAGAATGTGACAATTGCACACAACACAATAACTTGGTTTATTAAAGGTGTGACGTTGAGTATTTCAAACACAGGCCCAAGTGCGAATGGCTCTCAGACCTCAAAGGTAATGCCTCATGTTGGCAAATGGACATGGACATAAATGGACATGTTGGCGTGACAAGTTTTTCTGTTCACACTGAAACAGAAAATACTGCATGTAGCAACACAATCACAGCCAACCACATATGTATTTGGTATTTAATATACAGATACCAAGCGTGACACGACAGGAACAGCAGCCAAGCAACCGGCAGAATGTCTCGACACATCGCAGTGGGTTACGACAGAATGTAAGGTTTACTAAAGATCAAATCTAAGCTCAAACCTATAACTTGCATGTTGTGATCGGGTCATTCTGACCCAAAGTCAATTTTTGAACTGCTGATTATTGTGATTTTTGTGAATATTTCTCATTTAGGGTCATGAATGTACAATTTTTGTTACGACTTTCGTGTTGGGGTCCACGAATGTTGGTTTCCATGCAATTTTCCAAAAATCAACATTTTGAAAAACAGCAAAGAATAGGGTAATATACTTGTGTGTGTGTGTGTGTGTGTGTGTGTGTGTGTGTATTTTAAGACTATGTTTACTCAATTTAAGAAACCAAGGAAATTCACGTTTTTTTTATCTAGTTGAGTTTCATAGTGAAAAAATGTGTCAAAGGTTGCTTTTGGTTGTTAGTTTTTTTGGATCTCAATTACTAGACTGTTGCAGCACAGGTAGTGTGAGAAACTCATTTTACACTACCTGCACAAACAGCAATAAATACTACTTACACCAAGTACAAATAATGTTAAATACTATTTATACTTGTAGATATTTGCACCTCAGTGTGCAAATAATCACTAAAAGCAGTCATGGCAATTTTGTGTGTGTGTGTGTGTGTGTGTGTGTGTGTGTGTGTGTGTGTGTGTGTGTGTGTGTGTGTGTGTGTGTGTGTGTGTGTGTGTCTTTGTAGCTAATTTTGAACAAAATATGTGGGTCAAATTGGCACAATAAAAATACACAAGCCTTTTTAAATTTCTCATATATCCTATATTTTCTTGTCTCTGACAAGCTACGATAAAGGGATTTTGTTTTTGCATGAATCTTTATTGTCTTTAATAGTGTTGATTTTTCACAAATTGCTTGGAAATCAATGTGGGTGAATTTGATCCACAACAAAAGTTGTACCCAGTTTTTGAACAAAAGAGGATTAATAAAACCTAATAACCTAATAAACCTTTAATAAACTTTGACAAGATTTTCAGATGATTCAAAGGTCTATAAAACCCATTGCCAACAACCTCATGATATTTTACATTTATATAATCAGCTCTTACCTCCAGCACTGGTCCAGCACCCAGAATAATCTGCTCAACTCCGCTAGCAAAGCCTTTCTGACTTAGAGCCGTGAGATGGTGGATCAGGAAGTTGGTGCTTTGAGTCTTGCCAGATCCACTCTCCCCAGAAATAACAACGCATTGATTCTGCTTACTCTGCAGCATAGCATGGTAGGCCACGTCCGCCACCGCATAGATATGCGGCTCCAGCTTGCCCAGCTGGTGATTATCGTACATCTTGACATATTTGGGGTTATAGATAGGGAGGAACTTGAAGGGGTTGATGACAATGAGGATGCTGCCCACATAGGTGTAGATCTTTTCCTGCTTGAAGCGACTGCGCAGGTTGTCCAGCAGAGTCTTCTCGTTGAGATCCGGCAGGTTACAAAGGTCATCGAAGTCCTTCGGCAAGGGCTGCGGCAGGAAGCCCCGCTCCACCATGCGCCGCCGCTCTTCTGTGACCTGCAGCCACATCTGCAAGTTGCCATAGTGGATGGAGCCGTCTAGATTTTTCTCTCGCAGCAGGAAGCGGTAGTCCTCGCTGCTGAAGCGGTTCTCCAAGGCCATGCGAGGCCACAGCATCATGCGCTGGATGGGACAGTCGGTGGGGTTGAGGATCCATTCTTCCCCACCAAACTCTTTCACTTCTGCCAGGACGTAGCATTTCGTCCGATCTAGCTGGAGCCGATCAATGACTTGCTCGATGACCTCCGCGGCTGAAGTGATCTTACGGGCAGTGATGGGGCAGTAGATGGTGCCCTCGGCGATGACCCCTGGGTAGATCCGCAGGGTGAACTCAGAGTCCTCAAAGCGTCGTCTCCCGCCAACATCATGAACACTCATATTGGAGCAGCAGTTTCCATCAGCACTCACTGTACATCCTTCAAACGTGCCGGGTACTGCTTCAAGACATTACAACTGTCAGAGAAACGGAGAATGAAAATTTAAAATAAATATTAATGTTCAGCTGGGCTTTTAAATAGCCGATACCAATATCTACTGAGCAAGGTGGATGATGTCTGAATCAGATTGGCATATTATAAGAGACAACACAATATTTTGAAAAGTTGTTGAACAGTAATTGTACACAATATTTACTCATAAAAATCTGAAACTACAAAATGTTTGCTATCCACTGACAAAGCTGTCACTAAATGTTATAACTAACACTGCTGTTAAACATGTTAATCAAGTATGCAAAGTTATCAGCTGATCCCAAAATATACACTAAGTATGAACCACATCCAACAGGAGTAAATGACAACACATGATGAGGAAGTTGTCTGAAAGGCATGTCCAGGTACTAACCCGGATTATATCCAAAATCATAAAACCACAGCTGCCCAACTCCCTGCAGAATTAAATGTGCGCCTCAAATCAATTGTTACCACCAAAACTGTTGGGAGCTCCACAGGGTCAATATTCATGGCTGCTAGAGCCAAATCTTCGGTCATTCGTGCCAATGCCAAATGTCAGTTTCAGCAGTGCAAATCTTGGCCTGTGGACAATGTGAAACATGTATTGCTCTCTGATGAGCCCACAGTCACAGTCTGTGCGGAGAAGCCCCAAAAAGGCTTACCCACCCAGACTGTTGCATGCCCAGTGTGAAGCACAGGGGTGGATCAGTGATGTTTTGTGCTGCAATATCATACCATTCCCTATACTGTGCTATCAAACCATTCTGGAGGACCATGTGCACCCAATGGTTCAAATATTATACCCTAAAGGTGATGCCATGTGTCAGAATGATAATGCATCAATATGCACAGCAAGACTGGTGACAGAGTGGTTTGACGAACATGAAAGTGAAGGTGAACATCTCCCATGGCCTACACATTCACCAGATCTGATTATTATTGAACCAGTTTGGGGTGTTTTAGAGGAGCGAGTCAGCATCACGTAGTGACCTGGAATGGCTCAAAATCACTCTGTTCAGTGGGGCCGGTTGCATAAAAGGTTTAGACTAGTCTTAAAAGTTAGTCAGCAATTTTTTTCTTTAAGGCAGGTCATATATATATATTTTTTTACTTAAATAAAAATGTAGATTAGTCTAAGTTGAATCCAAAAAATAAGACTGATTACCCTTTGGTTAACTGCTAGTTGGTCAGACTAGTACTTAAGACACTGTCTTAACATAGAGGCTAAGTTTATGCAACTGGGATTTGTATCTGTCATTCCGAAGACAAATTGATGCTCTCCTGGCAGCAAAAGAATGCTCTACACCATAATAATAAATTACTGTGGTCTAAAATAAGTTGTTTCAGTTTCATTGACCAACCCCTGTAGACTGTAGACACACTTGGCACCAACAAAATATGATGCTTATGGGAAATGAAGCATCTATCAAAAGCAAATATATCACAGATGCAATAATAAATAAACTGACACAAGCAACAAGTTTAATTTCTAAGGATGCATGATATATCTGTAACCATACTGGTATTGCACACGATTAGCATGTGAGAAAGACCAAAAATCAGTTTAACCCATTTTCTTATTTTTTTTTAAGTCATATTTTTCTACTTAATCGGTTACTGGTTCTTTAAAAAATGTCAAATTCTATGAATAAATACCATCATTTTGTGGGTCTCAACAACATGACATCACTGTGCATTCAACAAGATGTAACAGCGTTTCAGGGATATTTGAATTAGCAATTTTCATAACAGCAATGCATTCTGAAGTGAAAAACAAAGATTACAAAACAAATTTGCATCACTAGCATGCAGTCGTTTTTTTTCATCAAACTCACTATGTATTCGCAGACATTGCCAAACTAATTTCTGTCTGGATTTCTGGATATTCTGTAGCCATAGACATTTTCTCTTTTAGCAAGAGTACACTAAGTCAGTAATCCCACTCATAATTTTACAAAACTAACAAACTAAAAGATAGTTTTAAATGATTAGCTACAGTTTTTAAGAGATTAAAACAGATGGATTTAGGAGTTACCATCAAGAATGGGCAGATCTGTGTGTCAACACACACTGGGTCACTATCTGCTTTCTACAGAGCACAGAAATTCAGCCGGCTGCCAAAATCACCAGCTGCCACCTTCTCTAACAGACACACAATAACTTGATTCACAACCATCCACTTAATAATGCCTGAATAGTCTCCAAGGGTTACTATTCATTACAGAAGCACCGTGTACACTGACGCAAAATAAAAACATGGTAATTGCTTCGTTAAATTGCTATAAACGTTACATAAATGTCGATGTTTAACATAAAATATCTGACTTGGCTATAATGCCCAACAAACAAGTTAATTTACTGAAATAACACCCACAGACCTGTATTTGTTTGAAGCTAAACAAACCAAAACTCTTTAGTCTTTACTTTCAGTCTTCATTCAATCTGATGTGTTATTTCAGCTGAGGACACAGGCTATCTTTGAAACAACAACTCAAACACTAACAGCCTTCGGTGTTTCAATACAGGAGCCCGTTCAGGAGCAGGGCTTTATTTATTTGTGCTTGTGAGGTCAATGTGGCTCCTGTCTGCTGGTCCCCGTCTCTCATCAGGAGCCAATGAGCCCCCCCCCCCCCCCTTTCCCGCCCGAGCTGCATTTCGGGGGCCCC